TGGTTACCACGCTGGGGCATCTGGCTATTTAATCATGGGCACTCTATACAACTTTGCGTTCCATGATCTGTTCGACAACAGCCAGTCTTTGTTCCCCAAGTGAATTCATGAGGAAAAGCTTTTAAGTAAAGACAGAAGAAGCTAGATAAGAATGTTGATACAAGCCCAAGGCATTACATCTAGTTACTTACTCTCCTGTTGGATGTTCAATTGGAAGGTCTGATCTTTGGGGTCCTCCGCCCACAAACATCTCTTCTAATTGTGGTGCACACGCTAGATGTATCCCCTATTCTTGGGCACCCAGTTTTGATATTGATGACTGTAAAGGGGTTGAAGTATAAAGTCCATCACCTGTTTGGAGTCTCTTCCAAAAGTCCAATTCCTATTTGGCCAACTTCCAGACTCTTTCTCACGAGTTGGATGTTTCTTCTATTGTGATAGAAGATGAATTATATTGCTTCTTTGTGGCATAAGATGCTTGGTGACGTAGTTTATACCAATTCGCTTGGTAAAAGCATTCATTCATTCTCTTGAAAGAATATTCTATGCATATTATTCTAGGGTACCTGGCCATTCGATTGAAGATGATATGTCATCCAGAGACAGGGTCTAAGAAGGGCTCAATTCATAGACTGTTGGGTTCGCATCAGATTAGAAGGAGAATTCTCTCGCCCATTTAAGCATCAAGACTGCAGAAATTCGTCATAATCAAGAAGTCCATAAGGAGTCAAGTCTCCTCAACTATGTAAATATTGGCTTCCTTACTGCATTTTCATTCGCATTCTTGCTTGTTTGTTTAAACATTGCTTGCATGTAGAAACCCGCCTATTTTTAAATGAAAAATCTTAATGCAATAAGTATGCTTGTCTTGAAGTGTTTCTTTCGTTTTTATTCATCCATACATTATCACTCTTTAAATGTTTTACTTTCATATTGATGCCAAGTTTCCAAGTCTCATGCTTAGAAAAAGATTGGAGGAAGGATGGCGATAATCTAAAAATGCAAAAAATCTTTGGTTGGTATGCTTTTGAGTAAGACCCTGTTGATGATGTATAGGCCTTGTTTCAATTCCTAAACACCTGAGACATAAGAGAGATATACCCTCGTTAACCCCTCTGAGCCTTCAAAGTAGGAGTTTCTTTTCTATTCAGAAAAAACCCTCATTTTCACCCTGGGGCGGATAATGTTCAGTTAATCTGATCAAGCACTTAGAACTCATCAAGAGTGGCATCTAAGGATACAACATTGGTTATCCTTCAAAAAGTTGAGGAAATTCAAAACCACGATAGATAACTTTCACTCATCAGGAGTGTGTCTCATTTAACGATATCCCAATGGGTATCTCTCGAACATCAAGAAGTCGAGATCAGATGACGATACAAGTTATCCCTCATCTACCACTCAGATAGTCACGATCACTTCCAACAAATCAAAGGCGACATAAAGATCAACGACTTGTTCAAAAGGTAAAGTATGAATGAGAAATAAACAAAAAGTCATGCTAAGTCGAAACTTGAAAAAAGTCGCTTAGGAAAAAGTTAGGGCATCTCGCTGGACTTCCAAATTAAAATTCCAAAGAATTTATCCAGACAAAAGTTAGGGAAAGCGAGAAAGAAATTAAAAAGACTAAAAGGCAAGAAAAGGATTACCAATAAAAATCCTCATCAAAAGAACAAGGTCGTGTGATCAGACACCAAAATAAAAAATTAGTGATTGTTGTATCCAAGAAACCCTTGTGGTTCCTTAACCATCGCAAACTCCTCTTTTGAGAGATGAATGCTTGTATCGGGTTAGCTGACCTTAAGACTGGAGAACATCATGGAGAATGGGTGGGAACCAAATTTTTTTAGCCTTAATCCTTTTTTCTAAAACCGTGAACTAGGCCACGTTGCAACCCTTGAAAGTCCTAACTGAAGCACGGGTCAATTCAAAAGCATGCTACAAGAGATAACATTTAACTGACTCTTAAGAGGTATATTTAACTTAAAATCTCACCTGAAGGACTCAACTTAAAGTCTTGTCTGAGACTCAACTTAAAGTCCCACCCACTCATCTAAAGTCTCCCTTGAGACTCAATTGAAGTCTCACTCGAGAGACTTAATGCCTCACCTGAGGCACTTAGAGTCTCACCAGACAAGCTAAATGTATGATATCGCTTGAGGGGCTTAAAGTCCCACCGAACAAGCTCATCTAAATGACTCACCTGAGAGACTTTAAGGCCCACCAAACAGACGCATATAAATGCCTTTCCTGACAAACTCATAGTCTCCCCATACAAGGTTCAACCTAAAGCCTCGTTAGAGGGACTCGACTATCAAGTCCCACTTAAGGGACACACTGTAAGCCCTAATTAAGAAAAATTTCACATGGGAAAGATCCGTACAAGGGAGTCTTAAGAATATGAGCACTTTTATTAATCCCTTCGCATTTTTAAGTTCTTCTGCTTGAGAGATTGTGTAGTGATATAATTTTATTAGGTCACAATACATAATACATTTTATGATAACAATTTCAATTCACTTATCGAAAAACTAAGGTACAACACCTAGATGTGTCATGTTTATTTTCTTCAAAAAAAATGTATAATATATTCCGTCGATTTTAGTTGAAAATCGAGAGATAAACTAATCCAGGTACATGCTTCGAATCCCAGCAGCTTCAGTTTATGTTTTTATTTCATTAAAGTGGCGCATTCCTGAGTATTTTGTTTTTAATCTAAAAATAAGTCACTCTTTACTTTGGTTTTATTTTTCAACAGAGGTGAATTATATATATATATATATATATATATATATATATATATATATATATATATATATATATATATATATATATATATATATATATATATATATATATATATATATATATATATATATATATATATATATATATATATATATATATATATATATATATATATATATATATATATATAACACTGACAAAATCCTAATAAATAGTCCTAAACACATATCATCTTCAATACGAAGATGATATATATTTAGGGCTCTCTTTCGATACTTTTCCGAACGAAACACCCAAATCATTTCTTTCATTTCTTCTTCACGAATCTTGTACGTCAAACACCACTACTCATGTTACATTAATGTCGCGGTTATTGTTGTTATCGTTATTTGTTGTTGTTGTTGATGTTGATGTTGTTGTTGTTGTTGTTGTTGAGATCTGAAATTCTAGAGGTTTAATCTTATTGTTGTTGATGTTTAAACTTATTGATGGTATATGTTTATTAATGATGTTGTTATAGTTTTGTTGAGTTGTTGTCTAATGTAAGTTGATGTTTTTGAGTTGTTAATATTATTATTGTTGTTGTTGTTGTTGTTTAGTTGTTCTACTTTCCAAAGTTACAAGAAGCTATATGTTATAGTTTAGTTGTTGTTATTGAGTTTGAGTTTGAGATTGATATTTTGGTATTGAGATTATATTTTTGTGGTTCTTTGTGAGGCTCTCTTCTTGTTCTGCTAAGTTGAGTATTATATCTATTGTCGATTGTTTGTTTTACTAACCTCTTTTTGAATATATAACATATTAAATTTATTTTGGAAATAATAATTTGAAAAATTAGGTTGTATTTGATACATATCTTACACTAATTAATATTTTTTGAACATTTTGCGACTCATCATTTATCTCAAGTTCTTTTATGGTTAAAATCTCTACAATACTTTTAGTTTTCGTTCAACTTTCTTTCATACTTGTTCATTTTACAAAGCATTAAAATTTACGCTTTCAAGAATAAATTAGTAGAAAAGGAAGTGTTTAATAGAGAACTTGAAATATTGAAGACATTCTAACCATTAAAGAACTGAGATAAATGGTGAGTTACAGGATGCTTGAAAATCATTGATTAGTGTAAATTATTCTTCAAATATAACACAATTGTTCATATCTATAATTATTTTCCTAACTAATTTGAGAAGTTGTATGTTCAGTTAGGACTTAGTGAAATAAGAAATCAACGTTAGATATAATAAGCTCAATCTTTTTTACCCGTCAGTGGAATGTCAAAATCGAGGTGAAAGGTGTTTTACTCGTCAGTGGAATGTCAAATCCGAGAGAAAATGTGTTTTACCAGTAAACATGGGTGATAACGTGATCCCACAATGACTAATTGACAAAGAGTCACTCAAAGGGAAGAAACTGCTCTCTAAAATTCAAGGAGACCAAGTCCTCCCATGACCATGTTTCTTGGTCATGAAGTTAGGGTAAATCATCATCTGGATCTCTAGCCTAGACCCAAGAAGCACTTATAAATACCTCATTCCTGGAATGATGAGAGAGAGAGAGAGATCATAACTCAACCGACATAACATTCATACACAGAGCCTCTCACTTCACGTGAGTCGAGCCTCTCTTACCACCATACACATTATCAAACAGAGTCACTCACCGTCGTGAGCAGACCCTAACCATTCTCATTTACTAAGACTTCTGAGTATCTCATATCAACATAAGGATATCATGCACACCTGTACATTTAGACAAATACAGATAATAATTGATTTATTATCACGACTAAATTCGAGATAGACAATGATACCTATCTGATTTGGATACATTCCATGTAATTTGAAACGGTGGAAACACGTCGATATTTCTAGATTCCTCATTCGTAGGTGCATTAGTTTTCTAGAATAATATCGGAGGTCGTTTTACGCGATGCATGATCCTTATATGTCAAGGTGAGCTTTTGGACTCTTCGATGCATTTGGAACTTATATGTTGTGTTATTTGAGAGACGAAATTTATTGCTGGATAATCCATGATATATTTAGATTTTGAGTCTTACATTCATACCATTACAAACATTAATTAGGGTTATGTTTGAAAAAAAATAATAATAAAGCATTAATTCTTTAACACGAGAGAAAGTAAATTTTTATTAATAACATACCATTAATGAGAAATAGCACTTTCTGGAGAGCAGTAAAATTAAATTAACAAGGCCCAATATACTAGATAATATGTCAACTATATCTTCAAGCACCATTCAAGAGATACTTTTCTAGGCAGCCAAGATAAAATAAAGTGGATTCCGATGTCTTGGTAGGTTTGACCTTTTCTTCTATGTCGGATTCATGATCATAAGAGATCTTCACGTTGACCAAAGTCTTATCTTGTGTTACTGCTGTGAGTTTAAATGTTGTCTTGTAGTATGACAAACCTTGATTCAGATAGCCTCCTTCAATCACTTGCAGCCCAATTTCATGGGATAACTCATCAAACTCAGTGATCTCTTCCCTCTGATAGTTTACTGGGGATATACCTGAGATTCATTCATTTCTCCAAGAATTTGATTAATTCACAATATTGAATAATAATACAAATTGTGCTATAAGAATGCAGAGAGAAGGCAATCTTACCAGGCAAAAAATTAAAGATGAGGATGGTGCCAACCCCTCCATCCCCTTGAACTACTTGCACATCTTTCACAATATTTGGCAGAACCTTTGGAACAATGAAAATGAAATCTCTGGACTGAGCTGCCCATAGGGTCTCCAGCCCTACATTGAGTGTTGTTTGGGTGTTGAATTCCTTTATCATGATTCTTCAATGTGTGTTTCAACAAAGTAGCATCATATATTGATTTATATACTATATGGAATTTGATAATCCCACATCTTATAACACTAATTAAGGAGAAAAATTACGAAACAGCATCTTCCACTATGCCATTGACTTACAAGAATGAAAGATGCTTTGTTGTTTTTTTTTGTTTTTTAAGAAAGAGATAGATTCCATTGGATATTTATCTATAAAAACAAATGAATATAGTTTCATAAAAGATAGATTTAGATACCATATAGTAGATATCATTGGTGGAATAAAAATAATACAGTTGATTCTTATTTTTGATAGAGACCAACCATTATGGTCAAGTCATATTAATAAACTAATAAAAGATAAGATTTTCATGAATTTTTAAATGCATATTGCAGGACGAGGTAGCATCCAATTACTTAAAAGGAAACCGGAAGGAAACATATTTAGTGACTTTGTGATGACAAAGTCACGGTAACTTTAATAAAAAAGAAATGATAGATAAGATGAGAGAGGAAACGTGATTCAAACTGGAAACATAGCCTTTTTCGGTTTACATAACATGCATGTAATAAAATATCATTAACCAACTGAGTTAGATGGTCGACAGGTATTGAACCAGAAATAGGACCGACTATGTGTTTATTTTTTGAATTTATTAAATCAAACATAGCCAAAATGGTGATGGATCATCATGCGCGAAATGTGTTTGGGTCCACTCTACACAACTCACACCTGTTTCTCAATAATCTTTCTTTTAAATATGAATCTATCTATTATGTTCTCTCACACGTCGCCAAGAAGATTTTTGATACAAAAAGTTGATCCCTTACTTGAATCAGGCTCTAATAGTACTGATGGGTCATCATTGAGGGAGAAACATTTACATTGGATCAAACAAAGTGAGAGACACACCACATCTTCACTCAAAACCTTAAGGTAATAGATGCATGGGTCCTCTTACTAATAAAGTGCCCAACATCCACTTTTTAAAGCAATATGTGACTTATAACTCACACTTGTTTCTCAACAAATAGTCCGCTATTGAACTCACTAGTATAAATATTACATTTTATAATAACACTTTCAATTTATCCAACAAAAAAATTGAGGTAAATATCCTACACATGTACGTAGTTTTTTCTCAAAAAAATTAATCATTTGATTATGTATTAAAACTCAAGGGTAAGACATTCAGGGTACAAGTTTTGAATCTGAATAAATACAGTTTTTGATTTTATTTCTTTAAAATTGGCACATTTCTTTTTATATTATTTTTATTTAATTATTAAATAATATATTCTATAGGTTTCTCTGATAAATGAGGGGTATGATACTCAAAATCTACTATAAAGAGATTTGTTAATTAAGATTTACCATAAACCTAACTCAAATATATAGTCGGTCCATACTTGTAAACACAATTCTTTGAGATGAATTGTTATCTAATAAATGAGGGGTACGATATCCAAAATTTACTATAAAGAGATTCGTTCACTAAGATTTACCATAAACCTAACTTAAATATATAGTCGCTCCATACTTGTAAACATAATTTTTTGGGATGGATTGCTAGACATATAAATTCTTTGATTTTGTGTTGTTGTTCTTCTAACACAACCGTTAACAAATTATTTTTCTGTTCTTACAATCTATCTCACATACT